CACGTGTGCAAAAAATAGTTTTAAAAATTTAAATGTGTGTTAAACGGACTTTAAATTTTATTATTTTCCCGAAATTAACAGAATGTAACATCTATTACATCAGAAATATATATTGAATTTATTGAACACGTATAGTAGCAGAGAATATGACAGTAATTTGTATACAAATATAGAAAGCGTAAACGTGTTTCAAATGGCAAGACAACGGCAATAATTGCTGATATAACGCCTAACCAGATTAATAGACAAAATAAAGAAGAGATTAACAGTTATTAGTTAGAGAACAAATAAGAAAGAACAAAGAAAGAACAATATGCTTGAAACGGAAGTTATAAATGTGTATTAATAAAAATCGTGACAGCTGAGCGAAATGAGCAGAGAGAGTTTTGTTCACGAATATGTGAAGGCAAAAGATTGTAATATCTAACAACGGCATATATATACTATATACGAGAAGGAATTTCGAAATTTCTGGGTACGGTGTTTAGGGAAGGAAAGTAAGCTTTGATGACGAATGGAAGAAGTGGACTGTGCATGGAAGTTTTTGTTGAAGTGAAGTAAATTTCATAGATAAGATATGTGGTTATGTACACACACACACAGCATATATATATATATGTATCTCACTGTGGAGGCTCAAACACAACAACTTTTGCGAAATTCAACATTTACGATAATTGCCTTCGCGTCGCACACGCAACTACATTCAATGGGCCGCGAAGCTTTTGATCGCGCAAAAATTACTCCACTCGAGTTTTCAGGATAATCCCCAGAGGAGAGAACACGGGGAAAGAGCTAAAAAGGGGAGAACGCGTGCCGTTGCGATAATTCCGTCGATACTCGAATCCGTCGTTCCGCTCTCTCCGCAGATCGTCATTAATAAAGTAAACGTGTTTTATAATGTTTGCGCGCGTAATCCTACGTACCGCTGCAGTCGATATTTATCGCAATACTGCTCTCGTTTCGCGATGTTTATTATCCGTGATCGGCCGAAAGTATAATGAATACGAGACGATGTTGAAGGCGCGATATTAATGGAATACTCGGATATACTCGCGAAATTAAACGCATTCCGCTATTTGCGAGACTACCGTGGAGAAGTAAATTATCTCTCTACAAGTAGATTACACGGACGCGACGATTATACTCGCTCAATGTGGAGATTACGAAAGGGATGATTAATAAGCACCCGAAACGACGCGTAGATTAGCGACAGTAGTATCACATTGCTCGTTGACGAAGTTTGATCCGTCTGAAGAAAACACGTCAAACGCTGGCTCCATTATATTCGCACGTAGTGTTTGCGTGACAACTCCACCTTTCTTTCCCAAAGTAGTATCACGTTCTCGATGATTTTTCACAATGCATCTGCTCGCACTTCAATTGTTACAATGGTCAAAATTTACGTGTTGAGCTTCGAATTTTGTTGTCTCGTCCGCTTTGATCGTTCCGATTGCGATATTCTATTTATTTCCGAATCTGAAAAAGTGGAAAACACATTTTCGAGCAACATTAAACTCATCGTGCCGTTAATGGTCGAGTAGTTTAGCGAACTGTCACGCAAACACTACGTGCGATAATGAGCCGGTGTTTGACATTTGTTCTTTTTACTGACGGATGCAAAACTCGTCAACGTGATGCCACCGTCGCTTTGTCTGTGCGTCATTTTGGATACTTGTCAATCGTCTCACGTATGTTGCATCAACATTCCACGGCGCACGTGTCATCGCGAAGTCAAAGAAGATAGAAGAAAGAACGCGATAATTGTCTTGGTAACGCAATTAGAAAAATACTTATGCTATAAAACTATTTACGTGTGTTTGCACAGGTGTAAGTTTTTTTGTTCTTCTGCGACACGCGGGTGACGTCAACGATCGCTGTTGACTCGATTTCGCGTTCATCCAAATGTTATCGATGTCCAAGCGCGAACGCCTTTAAATTAATGCAGACAGTAGAGAAACTCGCGCCTCGCGCTCGACCAAAACACGCACGCTCGTTTTAAACTAAACGAACGCGGCCCCATTTATCCGGGGCGAGCCGTAACTATCAATTTACCTATTTGTCCGGACGCCTATTCGCCCATTAATCTCCGTCGGCTGTCTAACGGGTGCCAAATTGCCCGTGTGTTGTGCACGGTCGCTTCCTTTTTCTTCATTCGTCCGTCAAATGCGCAAAAAAAAGAGTGTGCGCGTGTTCTCCTATTTTTTAGCATATTATTGATGAAATGCATTGTAATGCGTGTATACATCACTCGTCAAAGACAAATGGAGGATTTTCTGGTTTTGAATATTATGTAATTTTTTTTGTTTAATTCTCACGTGTGTGCGGTTATTTTTATCTGAAAGAATATTACGTGAGAAAGTGTGTAGTGTTTCACAATTTATCGCAAGATCGAAGCGGCGCGTTTTTCTTTCTCTCTGCGTTATTCTTACTCCGATTATATATTTATTCTCAATTCTTCCACGAGCTTGTATATTATTCTTGCATGTTGTAAAAGTGTGTGACGCAAGCATATGAAAGGCGCTGCATGTTGCTCGTGCACGAAAAAAAATAGAACCAATCATTCGAGGACGACGGAACGATCGATAGCGAATTTACATCGAGGAATAACGTCCTTCCGGGACTGCTATCCACACTGCATATGTGTGTGTGTGTGTGTATATATATATATATATATATATATATATACACACATATATATGTATATGTACACGTATATTCTGGTACGTAAGCGCCATATCGTACGTTGCAAAACCCAAAGTGCATTTCCTGCCGCGTGTTGAAACCGATCGCGTCTTTTTAATCCCGCGCGCGAACGATATTCCGGTAATCTTCCGCGGAGATGTATGTTCCGGAAGCGTAGGTTCGACATTAATTCCATTATTTTCCAACGATGTATAACTTGCCGTTTGTTTCGATTTAAATTTTATTCGCGGCGCGTAAAACGCGTAAACGCGTTTTGAAATTTTAACCGTTGCGAGAACTTGATAACACACACGCTGAAAATAGAAGATAGCGCGGGTTAACTTCGAAACACATTCTCAGGAAGCCAAAATTTCGAGCGTGTTCAAAATTTGCGTATATACAGGTTAAACTCCTTCTCTTTGTCTCTCTCTCTAAACTACTCCGCGTGTGTGTTCAGAATCAAATTAAGTTTGAAATTTACGGTAGGGCGTTGCAAAGTTAATCTGAACCATCCTGTACATTCGGCAAACTATACTACCACGACGTTGGTAGTTAAGCCGCGTGTGTTTCGCGTCCGAGAAACCATGCGGAGGAAGTTGTACAAGCACCCGGAATCACACACGGGGATGCAACGGAAATGTTGAGAGTTAGCTCCGAGGTTTGCCCGATGTATTGATCAGTGTCGGATCGGTTTGCCTAATTAAGCGATACACGTTTAGCGATATGCGTTTTAATAAAACAGACATGTAAACGATGCGAGCCAATATGATGAGCCGCGTGTTGATACATAATCATCATATCGATGGATCCGACCGTTGCCGACGACGATCCTACCGTTTCCCATTTTCGAGATTATGCCGGTCGAACGGTCGTTAATAATGTAAATCATCGAGGCCGGCTTTCTGTCAGCGTAAATCGCGCGTATTGACGCGAATCGAATCGGCTCATCAAAAGTCGCAATAAGTGTTAATGCGCCGATCGTTTCATTCGATTGCACGCACGCTTGCGTCCCGACGTATTATGTTCAGTAATACTTTTCGGAATTCGATGAAAGTGGTGATAATTAAAGAGAACTTTGTACTTTTTTGTGTACTTTTATGCGAGAGTTACACACGATAAAAAAAATAAACAAACTTTCTCTTTTTGCCAATACACAAGAAAGACGATATTTGCGACGAGATTTAATTGCTGTTAAAATAATACATCAAAATGTGCAAGAGATTTGTTTTGAATCTTTGTTTTTTTGCAGTCATAATGTCGTCAAAAGAAAAGTGCGCTTGCGATAAAAGAAAAAGATGATTAACATCCCCGGTGCGACACGCATACAAATCTGTAATTATGCGACTGCATCTGGCGTTCGTAAAACCTGAATACGGCAGTCGTCGCGCGAAATGATTATAATTTTGCTTGTGCGGAAAAAATATTGCACTTCAAAGGCCGAGATCTTGACATGGATCTCTGCCGAATCCGGTGGCGGTCTTGACGCGGCGGATGTACTTTTAATTAATTTATACCGTCGCGTCGGAACCAAGTTACGTTATTTTGAGCATCTGGAGCGTATCACGATGACGAGGGAAAGAGAGAGAGAGAGAGAAAAAAGAGAAAGATAATCTAACTCTCAACTCGCAAAACTTTTCGTATCTTTCGTGCGCCGAACTCAGCGGACTACTTGCGGCATTTGCGAGAAACTTACGATCATTTTACTTCCGTCCTCGTGTAAATAATAAGTTCGCGAGACAGTGGTTTCTTGTACGCGAAACGTAATTGCAGAGTTCCGCGTTTAAGGACGATTTAAATCGCAAAAATTACGTGTACAAGCGCGACACGAAAGATTTTTATTCATTGTACTCGGATATATGTGTATACAAAAAACGATTTCGTGCACTTCACATTATCGCAGCGGCTACGAAACGCGAGAACAGTGTGATTGAAATCCGCGACAAAAGTCGCAATTTTTCTTGCGTTGACGTGACGATCGTATTGAGTTGAATAATTTTTATTTAGTCTAATCAACAATCTTGGTTTTTATTCTGTCTATTTAATTTCGTTTGTGTCGAACTACTCGCAAAGTGCTTGAGACGACAATCCAAAAATATCGCACTTCTTTTGTGTTAAAACGGATGCGTGTTCCTAAGATCATCGATAATTGGCAAACACTCGTGCGCGAGTGGGCGCGATCGATCGAGCGAAGTTTACTCAGCGTTTATCGAAGCCGGCGCTGTGCAAATATTCTCTCTCCCTATTTATGTCGCTTGTCCTTCGCGCGGTCGGATCGACTAATCGATTTCTCACGTGAACGTTCTCTATCTTTGCAGTTTGAGATCCGAGCAGCCCAGCGGTCTGAGCACGGGTGGCGTAAGGCTGGAACTAAGCAAGGCTCTCGATCTCTGGGCCCGAAATTCCAGACTCACGTTCCAAGAGATCAACAGCGATCGCGCCGACATCTTGGTATACTTTCATCGGTAAGTTTTACTTAAAATTTTATCAAACATTTTTAGAGAAAGAGAGAGAGAGAGAGAGAGAAATTTGTAAAAAAACTTTTAAAAATTGTCAAAAATTTTGCTCCAGTTACGTTCGAAATTTTTGTTCATTTCACTACTCCGCGCATAGAACGCAAACGGCAGTAATTCAGTAATTTTATTCAGAGTAAACTTTTGCGTCACATAATAATTCCTAGCGCCGTTGTTATTCAGAGGTTATCACGGAGATGGATATCCGTTCGATGGCAGAGGTCAGATCCTGGCGCACGCGTTCTTCCCGGGCAGGGATCGCGGCGGGGACGCTCACTTCGACGAGGAGGAGATATGGTTGCTCGAGAACGACAGCAACGAAGAAGGTAAGTGGATCGGAATTTTCCGGTGGTTGAGCAAATTCGTGTAGCTCGGTCTTTAGATTCTTTCTCGAATCCGTCCCGGATTCTAAGGTCGAACTTGAGAGTTCGGTTCGGTATGTAATACCGCGGAAGGAAAATTCAAGCAATAAATAATGTATTGCGAGAAAGAGAAGGAAAGCGAACGAAATCCGGTTATTTGCGAACGAAAGCCGCTTATTCGCGATAAATATATTTTTGCTCGAGTTCGCTTAGATGATTTGAAATGTTTAAATAGTTAAATGGCCAAGTTCTCAAAATGTGTTTCCTCGTTTCTCTTCGGCATCTTTTCCGCGATAAACTTTCGCGCACTGCATCAAGCTGTTCGCGTTTTGGATGATGATGCGGCAAAACTCGGAGTTACCCCGTTATAAGACGCGGTTAGCTTTTGATGGAAAAAGGAGCTCGGAAAAGCGGTTCTTCGGTTCTATCAGCGCGTTATATCACCGTCCTGGATCGATATAAAACGCCGGATGGTATACATAAAGGTATTCACGGGCGATGTATGTGGACGTTCGTGGAAAATTGTTTGCGAGCTTCCTTTATCGACTTCTTTGACGCGTTTTCTTTAGTTAGCGCAATAAAAACGGCTTTGTCTCGAACGACGGAACGCGCGAAAAAGTATTGGATGGAGTGCCAAAGTTTCGATGACGGATTTAGTGACAGAAAATGGACCGAGTTTTTTTATTAAAAAAATTTTATTTAAAAGAACGATTTATTCATTCTTATCAAATAATCTCCCATTGTTTCCCATTATCTTTTGCTGTTGCACTCGGTAGAATATAAATAAATTGTTTTTAATAAAATTATTCGGTAAAATTATCCATTTTTCTATTGCAAAATATCCATCAAAACTTTTTCACTCACTCAATATAAGAGAAAATTGCTTTTCCCGAAGATTTTCGCTACAAACGCGTTATATTACGAGAAACTTGAAAAAGTCGCGATGTTTTGTGCGCCGAAGAAAGGACTTTCAATCTCTGTCGAGGTTTCATTACTTCTCATTTTCTCCGAGCAGGCTTTATTCGCATCGCGTTTCGTTACTCGAGAGAATAATTAGAGAGAATAATTAGCAGCGATTTGTATAATGCGGTTAACGGTTTATCGCAAACGCGGAGGAAACACAGCGTGAAACATTTGAATCGATACGCTCGTTTTCTCGTATAATACTGAGCGGTTGTCATCTTGTTCCTATCACTGTGAACGTTTGTTGCGCCGCATCTCGGTCGTTGCGACTTTCTGTATAACAAGTTTTTGCATTTTATTTACGCTACGCCACGCCATGCTCTTTTCGACCGCAGTCGGAAGTTTCCCGCGATGGAAAATGAGCATCGTAAAAATACGATTTCGAGGTAGCAGCTATTTTTTCCCGACGAGAACTAATTTTGCCCGAGCAAATTCGCTTCGCGGAAATAAAATTGCTGCGTCGCAACGACGCGAAAAGCTGACCGCAACCAAAACCGAAACTCTCGAAAGTTTGTTGCCGTAATTTTGTTAATTGCCGTAATTTTTAGAAACGTAGTTCGTAAACATGTAACATTCAAAAAAATGTATTAAAATGCACAAATGTGTGCGATCGAACATCTTATCGTCGCAATTATATAATACGTACAAATAAATCTCGCAGAGAAAAGTACTAAAGACGCGCGCGCTTCGACTAAGTTTATTATTTGATAGGAAAATATTCATTGCCAAACTACGAAAAGAACAGAAAATAAAAGAACAGAAATAGAAATTTAAAACAAAATTAAATAAATACTAGTAAAAGAACATCTTAACAATTAATTTTTGAATGTAATAATATTGAGAAAATCTAATCAGAAAAACGTGATTCTTTTAATTGAAAGTTCAAGGCTTTGTTCTTGGGAAGCAAATTTTCTTCCCGTTTTAAAACGAGTGAAGATTTTCTTGACCGGATATTTGAAACTTTCGCTTTAACTCGTACGTTAAGCGCTTAACGCGGTTAAAGTTCAATCATTACGTGTTCTTCGTAGCCGGGAGTTAAAATTTTCTCGGTGAAACTTTAATCGAAACTCTTAATAAGGGCATCGTTCGCTCGGTCGCCGGCAGCAACACAACACCCCGTAAATCCCCTGCAAACGCGGTTCCGCGGCACTTTTGCAAAAGCCGTCAGCTAATTTTCTCATTCCGGAGAAGAGTATAATTTAACCGCCGTCACGTTCGAGCCATTAATTAACCGTATTAATTGAATCGTGTCGCGCGTTGTCGGAAATCGGATTCATCTCTTCGGCGCAATTGTTTCGCCGATTATTATTTAGGCACAATCCTTCGACCATCGGAATATTCCCGTATTCCTATATAGCCGTCGTTGATATCGCACCCGCTTAGCTCTCGAGTCACATTCATAGTTCCATTAGCATAGTTATAACTATTGTACGTTATGCTGCAACATTAGAGCTTTCTCTCTTCATATATATATCTATATATATATATATCTCTGTGTCATTATCAGCCACTGCACGCGTATTCAAATTGCTAATTTCAGGAAGTCGACGACGAGACGTCGAGAGCTACTACGATTTTTAGCTCTAATTCGCGCGTGAAGCTGACGTATTTTGTAGATAAATAACTGAGAGTTTTTAGATTTTATTAATTAATTAATTTAGTAATAATATTGTGTGTTTTACGTGAAAAAAGAGAAGAAATTTCAAAAAAAAAAGAATTGGTCTAGTTGGAGGAAAGTTAAAAGGAGTAGCGAGCGGTGAGGAGTTCTGAAACGTATACTGCAACTTCTCGATAAACGTCTTGATTTCGGTAAGATAGTTATCGGAGTTGGTTTTCTTGTTGGTCGAACTGAGAGCACCCCTTCAGGATATCGATGTACAGCAACTAAAGGAATTAAGATTTCTCCATTGTGCGACGAAGCGGATGTTTCGTGTGAAAGCATTAAAATTTTAAGGTACGCGAGGTTTTTAATTAAAAAAAAGAAAAAAAAAACAAGATTTAAATTCCGCGATATTCTTATTTTTGCATGCATTGTTTTTCTCTTTTCTCTTTTTTTTAACGCGTATCTTGCCTTCGGGAGATTTTGAAATTCACAAACAATTTCACTTGCCTTCTTCGCGCGATTGTTAGAGCGAGATTTTGAGAGAGATTTTAACTTTAAGATAAAATATATCACAAAGCACTGAGAGAAAAAAAGTTAAATTATAATAACAATAAGAAAATACAATTTGTAACTAAGTAATATAAAGTCAGTCCAGAGATACCAGGTTTCAAATCCATTCGAGATAATTGTCAGCAACGATTGTTTCTCTACAAGTTTATTTCTTCTACTATAAATAATTATAAAAGCACAAGTAAGTTTTAAACAAAATATCAAATTATTCTCATGTGTAATTGTTTTGTTCCAGCAACAAAATATTCTATTTTCACTTTACGAATCTTTGTACATCGCACATGCCTGAAAATTCAACAAATTAATATCCGTGAAAATCAACGTCTAGTTGTTGGTTTCCACGTGTCAACAAATAGTTTTTTGCGTTTTTTATTAGCAAAACTTTGTTTACTAATAAACAACCAAAAACATTTTTTCTCAGTGAGGAAGAGATAAAATTTATCTCGCGGATCAGGGAGATCGCGCAATCTAGGAGATCAGTGTGCGCTACGCTCATTCAATTACTATTAGCGATCTCTCTGCAGAATGAACCTCCCGCGAGACGTAGATTACACAACGTGGCTCGCAAATCACGTTGTATCCTGAGTTTCTCACTATTTGCAAAGACGACGGCGCGACAGGAAATCTCGTACTCGTGGGAATGCGGCGTCAGCGACGCGACATTAGCAATTCATAACTGACATAACTGCGGTCGGATGTCACTCGCAAATCGGTTACATTTGTTCCTTGTCCACGATGTGTATCGTCCTCTCTCTCTCTCTCTCTCTCTCTCTCTCTCTCTCTCTTTACGACATCGCGCACCATATAACTGGGTTAATTTAAAGCAAAGGCCGCATCTCTCGCTCATTAATGACATTTGCCTAACGAGAATTATTAAGCGTTTGGTGTGCAAGACGATACACCTACCTTGTGCTACTCGCTCATTCGGGCTAATAACTTCTGAGTGACCACTTGTGAGTGTCAGTCGGAGTTGAGAGAGTTCGCAACACTTGACGCGACGAAAAGACAAATTTACATCTCGAAAAAGATTCATTTCAAAGCATAAAGAAACACACATGTTTATTATTTATACAGAAATACAGATTCACAATTTCCCTTACATCGCGTTTTTCGTTCGACACTTCGTTCGTTAACCGACTTTGACTTCGCATATTGTAGTGTTAAATAATTCCTCGCGCACACGTTCAAAGTTTGTCCGACTTAAAAATCTCGTTGTCTCGTCTTCAGTCACGTCTCCCGCTCGTTAAATTCGCGAGAGATGAATACAGTAACCTAAGAGGGAGAAAGAGACCGTATCTCTTCGTGGAATATGGCGAAAGTTTTCTCGTTGCGGTACGCTGCACATTTGTCTTTCTAGTAATATCTCGCTCCCTGCCGGTAAGAAGTCTCGACACGACTCGAAAAAACTACAGAACGTCGTGTTACACAAAACGATAAATGATAAACGCAAGCGAGTTTGGGTTTTTTTTTATACAGCTTTATCGCTTCGTGTAAAACCGTGCGATATAAACCAGAAGCTTACGAGTAATATCCTTAATAATTCGCGAACGATCTTGTTTTTATGCGGGTTATTTTTTTATTACTTCATTGTCTATAAAATATGTATATATATGTGTATAGATATGATGACACTGCAAGCTATCTCTCGGTGATGTAAAAACACGATATAATATTTTCTATTAGATCTTTGGTGGATATAGGAAAATAGAGATAAGATTATTTTCTTTTACAAAAGTTTTTAAATCTGTCATAAAGTTTCATCACTCTGGATTCACTCGTTCGTAGATAGTTTTTTTTATACAACTAGCACAACACAGGCGCGCGCTACGCGCACGCTATTGTTATTTTTATTTAACGTGTTGTCAGTGAACACAACCTGTCACCGCGATGACAGATAGTATATACGTCTTATAAACCATATAATACACATATGAGAAATGTCAGAAATAACGCATGAAAATCAAACTCAAAAAATAGTGAGAGAAAAAAGTGGAAAAACAACACGTGACAAGGAAAAGGGTAAAAAAGAGAATATTATATATATTATATGTAATATTCTATATCTATATATAATACACACACATACGCATATATGTATATATATATATATATATACCGTAATCACGTGACCGAAGTCAGTAACACCGCCGCAGTCGCGCGGCCGAGGTCAGTGACTCTACCGCAGTCGCGCGAACGAGGTCATTGACCCCCCCCCCCAAGGTTGCGCGGCCGGGTCAGTGACCTCCCCCACCACGGTCGCGCGGCCGAGGTCAGTGCCCCGCCAAGGCCGCGCGGCCGAGGTCAATGACCCCGCCAAAGCCGCGCGACCGAGGTCAGTGACCCCGCCAAAGTCACGCGGCGGAGGTCAGTGACACTGCAGTATGTATATAATACATATAATACAATATAAAGTATAATATTATAAATATATAACAAATTATATGTATAATATATATTATTTAATATTATATATATATAATATAAATTACATTCACGTTATTTTCACGTGTTGTTTTTTACTCTCTCGATCTTACCGATTCGATTCGATTCCAAACGCGCACTTCTTGGTACACATGCCTTTTTTAATATAGGATTGTATAAATATTCTGCAGGTTTTTGAAAACAGAAGTTTTGTAAAAAAAAAAAAAAACAAACAAAAAGCTAGATTTTATAACGACTGAATATGCGAAAATTCGATATATTAAATCGCATCGCAGAATTTTCTCGACAATATAACCAATAATTCGGGACTGTCAATTTTTCCAGCATCGACGATCTTCGTATCAACGCGATCGCTTTACGATTCTAGCACATATCTGGAAACGTACTTCCTTGATGCGAGTCGGAATTGAATCGCAATGGAACGAAACGGAACGAAACGAAGGCGGAGATTCCGTGGCGGCTGCAATTCCCGATGCAATTGCCCGAAAGACTCGGCACGCGAATGTAAAAACAGCTTCGACACGGGTTTTCCTTATTAAAACCCATCTCTCAAGACAGTTGAATAAATAAAGAGCGAGAGTTGAAAGTACTTGCAATTATTTATTTCTGAAAAAAATTGATGCATTCAAATTGATGCTGAAAAGCGTAAAACTTAGAATAACAAATTGTCATATGATAAGTACAATAAATTGTGTGATTTTGTTTTTTACACTCAAGCAATAAGCCTCATCTTTTTAAACAACTTTCACGTGCGAATTCCGGAGTGCAGTATATAGAAATAAGAACAATCCCACGAATCTGTATGTCATTTTTGTTTCGCATTTCGTTCTCACACACGTACACAAATATTTTGTGGTTAGCGTAAAAACGCAAAGCTAGTATGGTATATCATGCAAATAAGACGCGGATCTTAAATATCTTCATTTGATTCTTTCAGGAACCAGTCTGTTTGCGGTGGCCGCTCATGAATTCGGCCATTCCCTGGGACTGGCGCACAGCTCGGTTCAGGGTGCTCTTATGTACCCTTGGTATCAGGGACTGAGCCCCAACTACGAGCTACCGGAAGACGACCGGCACGGAATTCAGCAGATGTACGGTAAGTAATTATTTATTATTTATTAAGTAATTAATTAACACGTTGAATGTCGAATCAATTTTACATGACTTGCCCAAGGCGCCAGAATGAATTGTTTGTTATTCGATGCATGTGGCACATCGCCGATCACCGATGATCCCCACGGCGCCACTGACAAATTGAGCGGCGGTCACCCGTACGGCATTCAATGTGTTAAAATTCGTTAAATTTACTTACAGAAACAAAACTTGTTTAAAATATTTATATTAATAATAAAATTGCAAAGTTAATAAAAAAGATATGCGCGATCTTGTTTTTTTTTAATTTACTATAAAAAATTAGGATAGTATAACATCATATAAAATAATAAAGTTTTTTTATAAGCAAACACAGTACTAAGAATCAACCATTATCATTTGATTAACATTCGCACGTCGGCTACTTCAGTCTTCGAGCTTTCTTCGCGCACGCGGCGAGAATTGGGAGCGAACTGGCGAGATGTACGGGCGGTTTATCTCGATCGTAAAACTCTCGGTGAACGGCGATATAGTACCGGCAGATTTATAGCAGGTGTTATCGGAGGTCGCGCGGCGAGAGAGGAGTGAACACTATCTGTTTGCGTAGTGTTTGAATTTCGGAATTTTGGGCACGTTACCGTGACTGCCGTGTAAAGGCGATGCAGCTGCAATCGGCTTCGTAAATGCCGCGACATAACGCTATAGCGTGCCATCCGGCAATTCAGTATATTAGAAAAGTTGCTTGCTCTTTATGGCCCGCCTCGACTCGCGACAGGGACGCGGGGAAATGTGAGATAAACTTCCGATTGTATGGACGATAAAAGTGTTTTTAATGATTCTCAACTATTTTATTAATATATTGGGGTGGTTGAACAAACATGACACAGCTAAAACAAATACACATTCTGGAGAATAAATTATTGTAAATACTTTTTCGACAATATTATTTTACATGCATTAAATTATTTGAAAGTAGTAACAAACAAATAAATAACTAAATATTGTATCATTAAGTACGAAACTTGACATATATATATATATATATATATATATATAATACATTGGGTTTTGCATACAAGTAAATAAAGTGAATCTCTGAAATTACATATGTATATATGTATCACTTCTGTGTATGTTGTATTTTGACATGCATTATTCAAGCTTTGCAGCAATCTCGGCTAAAACTCAGAACTATATATCGCAACATGTGCCGTGGATCATTGCAATATCCACTATTGCTTAAATTACCCGTGTCATTTCGTTTCGCGCGCAACAGAATCGCAACTTGAGCATGTCGAAAGTTGCTTTGATCGCGCATTCGTGGAAAATAGCTTAATTGTATTAGTCTGGCCGCGCTGCTGGTGCACACGGAAATGTTTCGCTGTACAGAATACGAAATGTTTAGAACTAGATAAATACACTGCTGAGATACAGTTACAAAAATTATCGGCTTCTATAAATATAGTTCCTATTATTATAATATATGTATACAAAACCAATATTTATGCATACATATAAATATATATAAAAATATATATATAACATGTATTAAAGGCTATCACGGATAAAATTTTATCCCATGCGGATTTCGTTTTAATGGTATTAAAAAACGTAATCACTGGCAACACTAATTTTATGGATATTATTCACACGATCAGACTTTTATGACGACTTTTTTGATTTCTAAATTAAAAAAAATATATACTAGAATGACATTTTACCCATGATAACATTAATATGATTTTGTACGATAGCTTTTAAGGAGTAAACAAGAAATATTGGATAGGTTTTATGTTTTTTTACATATAAAACCCAATATATAAAAACCAATTTGTGCTGCAAGGTAAAAACGAGAATAAACGAAAAGTATGTATTGAGACACTCTATATATAACTGTGTAATCATGTTCATATAAGCACCTGCGTACCGGAGTGCAATGTCGGAAATTTGAATTTTGGGCAAGGATCTGTGTGTCTCGTATAGTCTCGCAGTAGATGGGGTAGTTTGTAGTCCGGTAACCGGGTAAAGTTGCTTTCAGTAGCAAGCACGTTCGATAGTCAGCCATCGCAGTAGCGAACCGCAGTTGCGCTCGCCAGATACCACATAGTGCTTCAACAACCCTCGTAGTTTTTTTTACACACCAATCGTGAAGCATTGAAAAAACGCGCAAGCGTATAATGAAAGAATAAATGCAACAAAGGGACTATCGCGGAGTCTCGCACAATAAATCACAGCGTGCAGTTCTTCCTGAATTTCGGATATTATTTCAAACGTCAGTCTCTATTTTACATATTTCCAAAACATTACTGTTAATTTTACTTGCACTGAGTGTACATATAATGAAAAAATACATATTCTTATAAATATTAAATGAGCAAAACTTTTTTAACTTTGCTAATATGTATATCGAAAACAAATATAAAAGTAAAGAAAGAGAGAGAGAGAAAGGAAGAAAAGGAATCTTTGACATATAAAAAGTTTTCCTCTTCTACGACGTTTGTTCTGATTTCTCGCGCTACTACAACGCTGGTAATGAGATAGATGGCAAAAATAATGCATCGTATTGTTCAAATAAAACTGTCGGAGGTACGTGAAGAAAAGACACAAGTGAGTTTCCGGCTCGATGCGAAGTTTGAAAATAGAGAAACTTTCGACTCGACGTTTCCAGCTGCGTGACTTCCCGGCGTGTCTTTATGTAGTTGGCTTTATAACGTTGTAAACAAGGGAAAACTCGAAGATGTTACACGTATTACATCCGCAGATAAATATTATATGTGCGGGCATTTCCGGAGCAGCAAGTGTTGCGCACTGCGATTCCATAACCTTTGACACATAAAAATAAATTGCGAGAAATTTTATTACGCTTTTTATTTACACATTTTACATTTCTCAAATTTTGTTTTGCCTCTTTGAGAGTTGGCACTTCTCCCGCATTTTGTATTATACACCGTTAATATTATTCTAACGCAATATTCTCTCTCTCTTTTTTTCTCGCGCTTTGCCAATTAAAAATAATTTTTCAAATTAAGTATCAAAGTTAGTTAGTCGATACAAGTTAATATGTCGGATGTATAATACAAGTCGATACAAGTCGATACAATTTAATATGTCGGATGTATGATTGTGCAGTTATATATGTTTATTTGCTTTCTTTAAACGTATAAATTAATACACACATTAAATTTAATTCGAAAATTCACATAAAGCTTGGTTTGCATTTTATATATATATATATGAAATGTTGAATTTAAATTGTTGTAACTTTTTCAAAATATTACGTTGTCGCCATTTTCTCAAACATCGACATTTTCTTCGGTCTTTCGATTCAAAGAACCAACGACCGTCGTAGCATTCGTGCAACATATCATTCGAGTGTATCCATATCTCCGCGACTATACACACGCGAGAAATGCATCCGCGCGATGATGCACTGGCGTTCTCGTTACGGGCCGCTATTTTTGGCCGTGCCACGGGGGTGAAATGAAACGTGAATAAAATATAAAGAATGACCGGGTTCATGCGCGCTTTCCACTCCACTCTTCCTCCTCCTAGATCCCACGGGAATGTATGGATGGCAGCCGCCACACGCTGCGGAAGGAAGAGGGAGTGGTGATTTAGTGTACTGCGACGAGGAGCTTTGCCTGGGGTTCTCCTGGGGGATAGCGAATGCATTTCGATCGCGCCACACTCGCCCGGCTTTCCCCACCTTCGCCCGTTTTCCATCTGTCTATCAGCATTATCCTCTCTGCCTTGATCTTCCTAAGCGTTCGTTCGCTTGTTCCGTGTTGCGTCCCGAACACTTTTCCGTTACATTGAAGCATCTGACTGTGCGAGTTTTATTTTAAACTCGGGAAAAACGTTGACACAACGGTATTAAATACGCAAGACTCGTGGCTCGTTAAGTGATCCGTTGAAGTAAGAACTTTTTGCGTGCGAGAAGGACGACAACGCGAGACAAACACAAACGTTAAAAATAACTACAATAAATATATCAAATTATTATATTTTTCTTGATTAAATTTTTTTTTAATAGTATTTTCTATGCTACAGAAAAACTACTTGTATTTGTGAAAATATCTATAAATTATTTAACACGTTTATTTTATGTGATTTGTCACTCATTGTTATCTTAGTAATGTCAAGTGCGTTAACGAATCTATTATTATTGTTTAAATAGCAAGACTCAAGGAACAAACAAAACAGCTGTTTTCATTTGCTATCTAGCTATATCCTCGTTCGTTTTCGTCCGCCTTCCATTTCTAGTTTACCTCGCTCGTATATTTTTCTCGCTCTTGTTGTCGGTGGTAAACGTATTACATGTACTACTGTCGCGCGGAGACGCGCATTTGTCTTCGCTGAAAGGATTCGCCATCGACGAGCGCGCATTTGCTTTTGCTGTCGTCTGGTCTGGGTGCAGTTGCATTGTCGTGCGCAAACAGCGCGACAGCAGCAGAAACCAACCCCGGTTTTGCCATAATAGACAGAAAGAAAGCGGATCTTATTCGCGTCGTAATTGCGGTGCTTTCCCTCTTTCAGCATATTGAATGTCGCGTTTCGCTATTCTTTCGTACAATTTCAGTGAATCAGTTATTTCGAAAATACACTCGCGAATTGAACGCGGAACTGAAGAGCGCAGCGTTATTTGACTTTGTAGTTTTTCGCAGACTTGTTCACAAAAAACAGGATTAATAGATTAAATTTCAAAACGGATAAAACTCTCTTTTCAAGATTAGAAAATATGCGAATTAATAATTACACGCAATCCGCTTATATTTTATATTTTTCTTTTTTTGCGAAACGATCTCTTCGAGTTTTACACACGAAAGAGCGACAGCGCGCTTGTTTCCCTTTGAAATATCGCACATTTTTGCGAGAATAAAGTTCCGCGCGATGTAGTTCCGTGTAAGAATTGGCACCGTAACTTTTACGTGGGAATAATAAAACCGTAAGCTGCTATACGTACGTTATATGAAATATTTATGATGCGACTGCGCTCACGCGAAG